TAAATACTCTATTGGAAATTACTTTGAGCTCTTGCTCTTGCATATTAACTATGCAGATAAAACACAGGGAAAGCGTAAGTATCCATCTAAACTCGAAATTGCCAAATAAAACCATATACTTGTTCAGAAGATTTTTATATTTTTAATAATAGGATTTGCTATCCTCCTCTTGAGTTTTGATATAATATAATTAATTTAATATTATTATATTAAAACTCAAGAAGATATTAGCAAACCTCCAAGAGGAGTATAGTATTCCATTGTAACAATAGAACAGCTGTAAATACCACATCAACCTGGTGAAATACATTTTTCATAATGAATAATGATTTTCATAGTAAGATGTTTCATAATTTCGCTTATAATTTTCCGAAAATTAAAGTTCAAATTTAAAGTAAAAGACTTACATAAACCACGACCAATCGTTCCCTTTAAATTTTAAACATTAGTACAAAGTAAGTTTTAAAAAGAGATGTACGATGTACGATTGCATACATTTTCTTTAAAATGTATGCAATATAATTAATATGTAATGGCAAAATTCATAAAAAATTTATTAGTAATTAAATAACCTACAAATTGAGCTTGTGGATGCAATAGAAAAACATGAAAAATGATAAGAAATTGACAAAAATTAACAAGTTTTAATATTCTCTATATTAGCTTAATTTTTCCGAATTGATAAACAAATGTCTATTTATAATAGATCTATAGTTCATATTAAATAGATAATATTTTCGCATTAATTCCGATTCCGAAATGGGCTAAACAAATTTGTGAGTATTTGAAATAAATTATCATGATTAACTACATTAATTTGACTGTATTTTTTATGTACGACCATAGTGGTTCCTAAAGTGAAAAAAATATTATTATTTAAGCAATTCTGATTCCATCCAAAATGATATTTTAACAATATTATGTATTTTCTCCACATATTTAATAATTATTATTGATTAGTGAATGATTTGTTTATTAATAATAACCTAATATATATTTTATGTATATAAATTTTAAATATGAATTATTCCTTCCCCTAAAGGGTCGTTCTATTTTTTGATAAACTTAATTTTTAAAATAGTATGAACTATTTAGATATGAGCAATTTAGATTTATTTCGATAAAAATTTAAAAGTGATTTTCAACTTTCTTCTTCTAACTTTAAATGATTGATTGATACATTATTTTTTCATTAATGATATCCGACTTCTAATAAAAACATATTCAATAATTAATAACATTAATTATGTTATTAATTATAGCCGAATAAATATCTCGTGTATATAAATTTTGAATATCATGCTTATATAAATAATTATGAATATACAATAATTAAAATCAGTTAATTGAAATATAATTTACATAATGCATACAATCCCCATAATTATTAATAAATTAATAAGTTAAAGTGTCATTCACAAAATATTAAAGAAACTGAATCCGGCACATACTATTATTGGGGATGATTATTTTAATAGTAAATAATCGTATACTAGTGTGGGTATAAAAATTTTCATGTATATTGAGCATTAATTAAAAATTTGTGATTTTGGGGACTAAATTAATACGAAGTGACATAAATACAATTTTTTGGATCTAATTATTATGATTATTAATTGTGATTTACTGTAGATTAGTTTTAACACTTTTGCTCGTATATGAGAATGATGTGAGGCTATATAGATGGAAAGGAAAAGAAACACTTTCCATTTTCAGTTCTACAAACGGCAGTATAAAAACGAGGGAAGATACTCGCTAATCATACAGTTCAGTTTGTGTGATCGTATCAATAGTTTAAACAAAAAATAAAACATGTTTAAGGTAGAAACTTACTAAAACATACTTTAATTTTTGTTAAATTTTAGATTATTTCATATGTTTTAATTGGATTCTAAAAGTGTTTAAAAACCGATAAAATCTGGCCTTATGGATAATCTAAATCGCATTAATATTTAAATCTAAATTCTAAAAATAAGTCTTATTTTTTATAAATTTCTAGTTAATTACACAAACGAAAAGTTAAATTTTAAGATACTTAGTAATTTGATAAAAAAATAAAAACAAAAAAATATACTAAAAATGGATTGGCGATAAATAATCATCGTAAATCAATATAATGATTTTTGATTCCTTATAAAAAAACTTAATAGCAATCAAAATCATGTAATTGTATAAGCTATCATAATAACTTATAAATTATATTATTTTGATTGCTGTTTATAATATCAATAAGAGAATAAAAATATAATTGCAAAATTTAAAAACATTAAAAATGAGCTTATAAATTTTCTTAAAAAATTGTGATATTAAATTTCGGTTAATATACTATAGAAGTAAATATCATAGTTCATGAAAACTACGATATAATGACAAAATAATATTTTTAGAAAAATAAAAATTTAAAATTAAATATATAGAATTTAAATTTCCTTTCATAATATCCAAACTTTAAAAATATTAATCCGTTTTCGGCTATTCTAATTAAACTTTGTATTTACATCATATATTAAATTTATTGCAACATCATATAATACGTTTCGCAACTGAAAGTAATACTATATTTTATGAACACATTAAATGTTTTATCGTCGTACAACAAAGATTTTGCATTCTATGCATCAGCATGAGAAAATTAATGTTGCAAGCTGTTGGATAATTTATAAATACTAATAATATAAATTCCTAACAGTCAATTAATGAAAATAGAAATTTTACAAATTGCATTACAACATATTCGTCTCTAATTTAAATTTCATCAACGTGTCGCAATAAATTGAATTGATACTTTTGAATTAAAAGATATATTACGCTGATTAATTTAAGGGGACACAACTAGTGTGAAATTTCGAAAAATCGATTTTTTGTTTTTTTTCATATTTCGGTAGATTACACCTTTAAAATAAATATATAAAATTTCAAATCAATATCTCAATAGTTTTTGAGTTACAGCCATTTAAAAGTATATATATAGTTATATATTATAGTACAACGATTATTTTATCTTTAAACGCGTTTTTCTCGAAACAGCATTTTCCGAATTTGCTGCAGGTGATTACTCAAAAACGAATGATCCGATCACTATCAATTTTTTTTACATGTTCTTTATACAGTTCTCCGTAAAATAAACTATCGATTTTTCGATCGGACAAAAATCGATTTTTGGCAGTCGAAAAACGACCAAAATTTTGGCTAAAATTCGACTTTTTTTAAAAAAACGCCGCCATTTTGTCAATTTTTGATTTATTTTTTTCATCGTAGTTCATTTACAGACAATATTATCTAGTTTAACGAGATTTTTTTTTTATTATCATCCACGTAGAAGGCCGGAATCACTGCAGCAGTTAAGGCCCTTTTTTTGTCGCGCCGTTGGAGACCGACGATAACTTGAAAAATATTTAATTTTTTCTTCAAAATTTTACTATGTATTCTTAAAACATGTATAAAATATTTCTAAAATTTTGAAATGATTGATAAAGTAGTTTTTTTAATATAAATTCCCAAAAATCAGCTTTTTTATAGGGGGTTACACTAGTTGTGCCCCTTAAAGATTTATATAACATTGATTTTCAGATAATTT